CGAGCGTAGAGCGCGATCATTCTCTCTGACGGTGGGAGGGCACCTCTGGGTGTTCAGTGGTTTGCTACTGCCCACCTCAAGCCAGGCAGCTCCTGGTCAAATTGGCGCAAACCCGCCAAAACCCACCTGCGTCTGACCGTGGTCGCAGGTGTATCCTACTACGGTCGCAAAACATATAAATCGTTCCAGTACCTCAGACTGCGTGTGACGGCCGTCAAGCAGATCCCAATCTGTCTCTGCAACCACATTCCCGAGCTGAATTTGCTCCCCACTGCGTTGTGCGTGAGGCTGTTGAGCCAAAGGCTCCGGGCGGAGTCCCTCAAGGAAAAATCCGAATCACAACGACCATCTCGCGTGCGATTGCTCATCAATACGATCGTATGCCTGCGCGCAATACGCTCAGCATCGGGTGCTGGAACGTGCGCCCACTACTGGACCGGAACTCCAGCGAGCGCCCGGAGCGACGCACTGCACTCGTCGCAATGGAACTGGCGCGCTACCACATCGATATCGCGGCACTAGGTGAAACCCGGCTGGCTGAGCAAGGTAAGTTGCATGAAGCAGGTGCTGGGTACACATTCTGCTGGGTGGGCAACGCCGCCTCAGCACCACATGAACACGAAGTCGGATTTGCAATATCCGATCACCTCCATGGCCAGCTAGTGGATGATCCAACGGGCGTCAGCGCGTGACTGATGACTGTTCGCCTACGACTCGGAAGAGGTAAGTGGGCAACTCAATATCTTGGAACATATTTAAAACCTATCGCGAAGTCATGATTTCAGAAAACTTGGTAGACGACCGTTTAATGTATTTATGGTAATAGACAAAGTTTCGCTTTTTACACACACGTACGGTCCGACCATGTGTTATCCTGATGACATGTTGCTAACTTCTACACTCAGTGATCCTCCGTGATACGGTATCTGCCGAGGGGGGACCGACTATTTCTGCTGGGTGATTTCAACGCGCGTATTGGGCGTGATGCATCGGTGTGGACAGATGTCATCGGTCCGCATGTCATTGGTTCAGCGAATGCGAACGGTGACAGGCTGCTCTCACTGTGTGCCACTCACGGCCTGACGATCACGAACACTCGACTTGCACTGAGTGCAAGTGATATAGCAACTTGGACGCACCCACGGAGTGGTCACGCTCACCTGCTCGATTATGTCATCGTACCCCGGCGTGATATGTGTGAAGTGCGCATGACACGTGCACTGCGTGGAGCTGAGTGTGGCACTGATCACAAATTGGTGCGGACCAAACTGTACATATATTTACGTAAATCTATGTATTGCACTCCTGTCGTGAATCGGCGTAAATTTAACATTCTCCTTCTGTACAGTGGCGAAATGTATTGAGCTGGAGAAGGCGATGGCTGCACGCCTGTGTGATGTGGACTGCATAGCCACAGTGGGCGACCTGTGGCACCACAATCGCGATCAGGTGACAGCTGCTGCCGGTGAGACCATCGGGCGCGCAAACTGTAAGCGGCCTGATTGGTTTGATGAGAACAATGCGACGATTGGCGCACTGGTGTCGGGGAAGAATGTAGCATTTGCTGCACATGTGGCAGACCCCAGTGACTTTGGAAAGGATAGTCAGTTTCGCAAACTTCTACGGCGTCTGAGCCGGGAGCTCCGTCGCATAAAAAATGCATGGTGGACGGAGAAGGCGAAACAGATGGAATGCTACGCTGAGCATCGCCAACACAAGGAATTCTTTGACTCCTTGAAGGCGGTGTATGGACCGAGACTGGAGCCGCTGAGGACGCTGTTGGAGGGTAGCTCAGGAGCTACCTGCACACAGACTGCAGACATAATGCAAATCTGTCGAAAACACTTTGACTGTCTCTTGAACAACCGTTCAAAGTTCGACTGGCCTACTTTGAACTGCCTGAAGCAGCACGATCTGAAGACGAGTCTGGCGGATACGCTAGGTGCTACGTGTATGGAATGATGAGGAGGTGCATCCTGAGCTGAAGGATGCCCTTGTGCTACCACTGTCCAAGGGTAAAGGGAGCAAGCAATGTTGCACGAATTATCGTGGCATCAACTTGCTGAGTTGTGTGGGCAAGGTGATTGCCGGAATCCTGCTCAACTGCCTCGTCAATCAGGTTGTGGAACCGAAGGTGGCCGAAGAGCAGTGTGGATTCCGTTCGAATCGCAGCGCTATAGATATGGTGTTTGCGGCTCGTCAGTTGGAGGAGAAGAGCAAAGAACGACACCAGCCTTTGTACTCGCTGTTTGTTGATATCACCAAGGCATTTAATACGGCGAATCGCGAATCATTGTGGCTGGTGTTGGCTGAGTTTGGTTGCGCGCGTAAGTTTGTAAGTTTAATTGAATGTCTGCACAGTGGTATGCGGGCGAGGGTGCAGCTGAGTGGAGAGACCTCGGATGACTTTGCAGTTGTCTCTGGTGTAAAGCAAGGCTGTGTCTTAGCTCGTGCCCTGTTTAGTATATATCTTCATGCCATGATGTCTTGTGTTTTGGATGCCGCTTGTGCTTACGGTGTTCGTGTGGAGCACCGTATCGATGGTGGGTTGCTGAACATCCATCTTTTCGGTGCGAGAACTCTATTCTGTGAGACAAGTATCCGCATGTTACTGTTTGCTGACGACTGTGCGTTTTTTGCACACAGCGCGGATGAGCGTCAGCATATGACTAGTGCTCTGGCTTCGACAGCGGCCGAATTCAGGCTAAAAATCAACACAAGCAAAACTGTCTGTTTCTTTCAGCCTTCCCCGACGGTGCAATCTTCAATATTGCCGCGAATCAGCATTTTTGCTGCACTATTGGAAACTACATCCCGCTTCTGCTACCTTGGGAGTATGATGTCGACGGATCCGCAGCTACACAGTGAGCTGCATATTCGCTTGTCGAAGGCGGCGGCGGCCCTCGGGAACCTTGAGTACCGAATGTGGAACAACCATCAGTTTACTATTGGCACGAAGCTGATGGTGTTCAAATCCATGGTGCTGTCCGTTCTTCTATACTGCAGCGAATGGTGGACCATGTACCGGTGGGATGTGCGATATCTCGAGCGGTTTCATCAGCAGTGTTTGCGACGGATTTTGCGCATCGGTTGGGGCGACAGAGTTGCAGACACGGAAGTGTTGGCCGAAGGGCAGTGTATGCAGTGGACTGCGTATTTTTGCTGAGAAACCTGAGGTGGCGTATGGATTCAACGCGGATATCGAAACAACTCTTATGCGGTCGGTTGAGTATTTGGAAGCTGCGTGTGGGGAAACCAAAGTTACGTTACCAGGACATGATCAGAGTGCCCGTCACGTTCTAATCTTGATTGCAGGTCATGGGAATCGAAGGCGGTTGTTTGGCGTGCATGGCGCAATCTAAGCACGAAGGCAGTTGCCGAGGTGCAGGAGAAAGCCCTAATGGATGCAGAGAAGAAGTGGCAAGTGCGGAAGCGGCCGTCACCGATGGGTTGTACTCCATCGACATCGAGCGCATGGTGCTGTAGCACATGCGGTCGCGAGTGCCCGAGTCAGGCAGGCTTAGTGAGCCATGAGCGAGGCCACTCGGGCCCACTACCGAAGCGACGACGGGTCCTGCAGAGAACATAGGCAGAACCGGTGCAACGTTTGTAGGTACGCTGCATTCGATTTACTAACCGCGTGCTTGTATGCTAAGTCTCTTTATTTCAGGTGGTGGGTTTTCAATTTTGTCCTAATGCTTTTCTTTCTCATATAAATGTCTACCAGTACGCTCTTCTATAAACCTGCACAACTCGCTTAAGCCAATTGTAGTTAATTTCGATAACATTTTCGTGTTTGTGTCATTTCCGTAAAATATACTTTCTGACCTCATGAACTTATATCGGATTCGTTTCTAAACAACATATTTCATATGCCCATTAATTTAAGATTTATGCATTGCTCGATTTATTTTATTTATCTCTCAAGTGATTGGCTGTTGCTTGCTATTCCCGGTTTGGTTGCGTTTGATGTGCATTTTGACTTGGTGCGTACCTGTCTATTACCCAGTACCTCGTCCATACTGGCTCTTTGGTACAGTTGGTCGTTGTTGGAGGAGACGGGGTGCACAGTTCTTGTGGCCGTGTTAGGATCAAAGAGCAGTTCCGTGTTCTTAGTGTGTAGCGGACTACGGTCCAGCCACCGCCTTGTGTGCGCTTGATTCCCAAATACAGCGTGCTTGTGTTTGCCTGTGAAGGAGTGTGGGCCGGCTCCGTTGATGAAACGTGGCTCCCATCGGCATGCCTTCTGGTCTTATTCCTTCAGGTTTACACTGGATATAGGGTGTGTGGATGGAGCTGTGTATGGTGCAGCGCAAGCCATCCATTGTCCCTCTGTAGGCGCAGCCGTCCTGCGCCTATATATAACACGCTAGCGGTCTGTCATTCTTGCCTTCAGCCTTTTGCATTTTGTCGGTAATCCTTAATGTTGTCTAACATGCATCGCCCTTATCTCTCAATTTTTTTCCTTCCTTGTATCTATTTCCGGCTATTTTATCTTTCGTTCTTAGCGTTCCGGTATGACGCCGCTAAGTTCACAGTCTCTCATCGAGCTAGGTCGATTTGACTTATGTTTATCTGAATTTACAAGCGCACTTAAATGCTTACATGTAATTTAAGGGAATCGCTTTTGTAGTACTTTTTGCCTCCCGGTTTGATCTTCTACTGTATGCTGCTTCTTGATGATTTACTTTTCAATGTACTACTTTGTCCTGTAGAACCCTCAGCTGGAAACATGTGCAATATCTGCTTATTTCTCTCTGGATTTACCAGCACACCTTGGCGGCAATGAATACTGCAATGTTGCCACTCCTGATCATAAGCATGCGCACACGTCGCTTTCATCTCGTACACCAGAGAGGTTTGGTGATTTGTGAATCCATACTTCAGCTTAGAAAATTATTTATTCGCAGCTTAGTTCGCGCTATAGTTTATTCTGATTCCAAGCTGGCACTTTTCACTTAACGTTATCTTCTTTGGAACTCTCGTTTGCTAAGCATTTTGTAACCTTTCACCCAACGTACTGCTGTAACTCTGGCTTCGTGTATCTATCCTAATTCTAAACGAGGTGCTTTCAGTTCGCATTTTCGTTTTAGAAATTCATAAACTCTACAAAAACGGAAGATACCAAGCGGATCGGTGTTCCGACTCCCAATACCTCCCGAAATCTACTTCCGATATTGAAGCATAAAGATGTGTTACTAGAAGCGATCGAAGCGAACCAGTATTGCATCATTGTAAGCTCCACTGGTTCAGGGAAAACGACACAGCTACCTCAGTTCCTACTCGAGAAAATTGACTTAGCGGACGGGATTGTCGCGATTACTCAGGTTTGTTTCTTTTATTGTTCCCCGACTTTACTTACGGAAGAAGAGATATTTTTATCATTTTCCGCACAGCGTTTTTATTGACTTTTTATTTTCATCGCCACAGGGGACATCTGTGCATGACTTGTTGAAAATAATGTTCCCGGCTATCAACCACAGTCGGAGTATTATTATAGCTGCTTATCAGTTTACATGTTTATTCCCTTTTTTCAGCGAGCTTTGACTTGTTGCATGCTACACTTGATGAACATCTGCTAATGCAACGTTTACTGTCTCATCGTCTTATTTATCCGAGGTCGCAGTGCGTTCAATAGCGCTCTTCTTTCAAAGGCAAACTTGTGCATCTTGTACTTATCGCGATTGTCATTGACTCTGGGTGATCACCGTCCTTACTCGCTAGTTTGCTACTACCCACCTCAAACCATACATTTCCTGGTCAGACGGTGAAAATTCGCCAACTCCTACCAGCGGTTGCTCGCGGTCTCAGACGCGGAATATAATGCGAATGAAAAACGTACCTGCGTTTTTGTTATCCTACCAAGCCTGCGTATGGTCTGCACTGGCAGATCACAACCTGATTCCGCAGTCATCATTCCGAGCTGCACACATCCCCCACTGTATTGTAAGGAAGACTTTTAACTCAGTGGCTCTGAGTTGGATACCTATCCAGTACATTTCTCTCGTTCCTTCGTTCTCCACTTTTCAAGCCCCCCTTTCACTGACTTCCCGATTGATGTTAGGGTATGTCTAGCTCGTCCTTCATAGCAAGAGTTTGTTTCCACTTTGGTTCATTCAGCGTACATACAGTAGATCAGGTTTGTTGGCAGGCAGCACCGTCTCTTACCTTCCAGTCCCGTGGAATTGATGTACTGGTTACCAATTGGTAGGTCTTTTCGATTGTTGTGTCGCCACTGACGTCTTCGCCCTACGACCGCAAGAAGAAGTCCAGAGACGAGCCAGAAAGAGCCTTGTATACATGAAATCACATTTGCTTACATAGTTTTGAAGGTAAACTAAATGGAAGCTACTAAATTACACTTGAGCCAACCAGCAGAAGGAAAAATGTCAAATGCAACGGCGAATAAGCAACCGTGTACTCAAGAGCGAATCGCATATGTCCTTAAAAATAGCATCATGGGACTACAAGCGTAAAGCAAACATCCATTTACACTGACGGGCACTGGCCAATCAGAATAACGAAATGTAGCGTTTAAACAAATGTCACGAAACCAAGGAGAATAAGAAATGCAGACCCAAAAATTAAAAGCTAGTACAATAATTGTGTGATAACTGAGTATTTCTTTAAGATAACCAAGTCGAAAAAGTGATGCGGAGAAAAACCAATGAAATGTGTTCTTACCACTGGCACTGCTGAAGAGGACACGGAGATGAGCGTCCATTAACAATGACGTGTGTGTACCAATCGGGCCAACACAGTGGAGTGTTTAAACAACAGTCAAGAAGTAGAAAATAGGAAGAATAAAAAATAGCTAGTAAGCTCGTTCACACAAAAGATGAATGTCTAATAACTGTTCTCCTAAGATCGATGTAATTGCATTGAGAGTTCATCGGCGTAGCTACCAAGTCAGATGGCTTACCACGCATTTGGAAATGCACCAGGGGACCGTTTCATCTTATTGAGACTCGTCAACAGTGCGCAACCTCCACTTCCGTCAAGAACCGAACCCATGATCTCTGGGCACTAGCAACTTTCTTCATTGACCTGCGGCTTGTGCCGCATGACCACGAGTGATGGTGAACGGCCGTCAGGATTTATAAGCTAACTGCGTTCTACCACGATTCATCTTCCACTACCACGTAGTTTAGAAACCTCGCAGAGGACACGGTTGATCCATAGAGTCTTTACTTCGGGCAACAGTAATTATGTGCTTTTCAAGATTCGTTATAGGGCATCTGACTTGGAAGCTACTGCAATTTGTTCTCCATGGAATGGATGCGTGTTTTGTTCCCGATGCATTCATTACAAATGACAGCGTCGTGATGAGTTTTCGCATACCTAAATAAGACTCCGTGGTCGACGATCATACTCTTCGTATCTTTTGCGATACCACGTCGATGGGCTAGAGTATTGGTAGTGTCTATATTTCTCTCTATAAACATACTGCAGGCGTGCTACTGGAACAACTTCCGGCTCACAGCCTCACTTGTGTGGTTCAAGTTTATTCCTTACTTTGGAACGGAACATATATAAAAAACTCAACAAAGCAAAAAGGTGTATGTAAAGCCCCAAAAGCTCTTTTTCCTCTATCGTTTTTCTATTCCACCTTTTTGCCATGTTTCTGACGGTAAATTGCCTGTAATATATATATATATATATATATATATATATATATATATATATATATATATATATATGACGTTGGTGGCATCCGGTTTCGGATTTGTCTGTCACAGTGGCCAGCCAAAGGACGTCTGCGCCTACAGAGGACCATGGATGGCTTGCGCTGCACCACCCACCGCTCCATCCACACACCCCATATCCAGTGGAAACCCGAAGGAATAAGACCGGGACGCATGCGGATGGGATCCACGTTTGAACAACGGAGCGGGCCAACACTTTTTCACACGCAAACACAAGCACGCTCTGTTTGGGGAATCAAGCGCCCGCAAGACGGTGGTTGGACCGTAGTCCGCTTCGCATTGAATGGAACCACTCTTCGAGCCTGGCACGACCACAATGACCGTACACCCTGGCTCCTCCAGCAACGACCAACTGTCTCCTGGAGCCAGTATAGACGAGGTAGTGGATAATAGACAGGTAGACTCGTTGTCAACATGCACACCAAGCACAGCCACATCTGGGATGTCAAACAATAGCTACTCCTTCGAAATGCTGATATTACATGAGAGATATCGAATGAAGCAAACCTACATGACGACATAAATACTCGCTAAATTTGCATACGCAGTATATTGGTTATAGTCAAATCCGCGATAAGGACGATATGTCCGAAAGTTATTTTAAAACTACCACGTGATAAAATTACGCAAATTTACCACAATTAGCATGAGCATCGTGAGCAAGTTAGTAGAAGATTACCGTGTACGCACACCAAACCAAAGTAAGTGGAATGCATTTTACCCACATTTAAAAGACCTAGTGTGTGGAAGTTGGTTTAGCCCAACTGTGGTGAAGAAGCCTCATGAATGCTACATCAGCCTCAGCATAGGGCACACATACATGCATGGTTGGCGGCATCCGGTTTCGTATTTGTCTGTCACTGTGACCAGTCACAGGACGCCTGCGCCTACAGAGTGGCAATGGATGGCTTGCGCTGCACCACCCACGGCTCCATCCACACACCCCATATCCAGTGTAAACCCGAAGGAATAAGACCGGGAGACATGTGGATGGGAGCCACGTTTCATCAACGGAGCCGGCCCACACTCCTTCACAGGCAAACACAAGCACGCTGTATTTGGGGAATTAAGCGCACACAAGGCGGTGGTTGGACTGATTGCATGTAACCACTCTTCGAGACTAACACGGCCACAAGAACCGTGCACCCCATCCTGTCCAACAACGACCAACTGTGTCTTGATGCCTATATGGACGAGGTAGTTGGTAATAGACAGGTAGACACCTTGTCAACATGCACACCAAGCGCAGCCACACTGGGGGTGTCAAGCCACAGCTAATCACTTGAAAGGACGATATCAAATAAAATATATCTGCTAAGGCATGCGGCTATGCAGGCATAATTGTTCGCTAAATTAGCATATGAAATAAGTTGGCTAACAATGTATCCGCGATAATTACTATGTCCAGAGGTTAGACAAAAAGGGATACAAACGAAATAAGGCTAATGAAGATAAGCGCAATTAGTGTAAGCAACGTATCCAGTTAGCAGAAGATTATTCAGGCAGGCCGAACGATCCATGTAAAGTGGAATGAAATTTATATAGCTTATAAGACATACCTGGTTGTCGGCATCCAATTTCCGATTTGCCTATCACTGTGGCCAGCCGCAGGAGGGCTGTGCCTACGGAGGGACCATGGGTTGCTTGCGCTGCACCACTCACAGTTCTACCCACACACCCCATATCCAGTGGAAACCCAAAATAATAAGACCGGGAGGCATGCGGATGGGACCCACGTTTGAACAACGGAGCCGGCCCACACTCTTTCACACGCAAACACAAGCACGCTGTATTTGGGAATCAATCGCACACAGGGGGGTGGTTGGACCGTAGTCCGCTCCACACTAAGTGTATGGAACCACTCTTCGAGCCTGGCACGGTTGCAAGGACCGTGTACCCGGTCGTCTTCAGCAACGGGAAACTGTGTCTTTTTCTAGCCCTTCTGGACGGGGTAGTGGGTGATAGACAGGTAGGTACCTTGTCAGCATGCACATCAAGCGCAACCACACCGGGGATATCAAACAACAGCCAATCACTTCAAATGGCAACATCACGTAAAATACGTCGGTTAATGCATACGGCTATGACGAAATAACTCTTCGCTTAATTAGCATTTGAAGTTAGTTGACTAGCATTGAAATTGCGATAATTACTAGCCATCCAAAATTTACTCGAAAAGCGCTACAAGCGTGAGAATGTGAGCGAAGATAACCAAAGCGTAAGTAACGTGTGCAAGTTAATAAATCATTATTCAGATGGGCAGAATAACCCCAAAAGATATATATATATATATATGTATATATATATATATACACGGGAGAGCCTATGGTGCGCTAAGGCTGGTGGTGGCTAGGTCCTGACAGATGGTCTACCCACTGCTGCTACTGTTGTGCCATTTGCTCATTGCCTGGGTGCCTCCTCGTGGCGACCGCTGGGTGGGAGTTGAGTTTCGCCCTTCTCCCTGCTAAGATCCAGGACACCAATCCGCATGAGTCGATGAACTAATCATGTGCTAGACCCGATGTGTTTTGGGTGTTCATTTCATAGAGGGCTTTGGCTGAGCATCCGAGTCGCTCTCCTGTCAAGTGTGGGCGCCGTGCCAGTATCCTAGTCCATCCTCT